GTTTAGGTAACTAAACATAGAAATATAAGGCTTGCCGATGGCTGTTACCATCGTTAAACCAAACTAATTATATCGTTTACGAAAATACAATTGTGAAGAGGGAGAAACGGAATAAGCAATTATCAGATGCTAAGCACTGGCCTCCATTTCCTCAAAAATTCGGATGCCATGGCAAGCGGGTATCTGCGTTTGTGACGCTACGTTAAATCCTATGTAAATTGAAATTGCAATGAAATCGCTTGAAGCACAGTGCTTCGCTTGACATAGTCGTTGCCAGAGATGTGAGTTAGCACATTTGTGCTGGGCGATACAATTATCTCAAAATCCATAATTGTTTGAATTAAACGGAAATTGATAACTGCGTGCTTTAAGATCAGGAGTCAGATCCCCATTATGTGTTTAAATGGCGGTTATGGGTTAAGCAACACATGTAAGGCCCAAACTAACCACAATGAACATTATCATTCACTTAAAATAAATGAACCTTAGTAGCGAATCCATGTACACCTAATGCTTTCTCATTCCACTGACTTACCTTTATTCGTGTCAACTTCTCCGAGGACTAGGGAGTACGGAAGAGGAGACTATGTGTTAAAGATGAATCAGCTCACATCGCTACGTGATTTTAGGTTGCAGAAATCATCGAATAATTTTACTGCATGTGCCCATAACTTTCCATGGTTTGACCAATATTTTTTACTAATCAGTTTATACAGCTACTTTGCTCTGCTGACTGGATGTTCGCATTCTCAAATATGTCTTACCAATACTATTGCTGGGTTTGCTTTTCAGGGTGACGGTGGAATAGCAATCTCCTGCTTCTTCGTTAAGAAGTCGGTTAATGTGCCACTCCGCCTCAAACAATTCTAACGCATGATAGTCCTGAGGGAATTTCGTCTCATTCATTGTAACTCGTAGGATGTAAGACGGGACCTCATCCTGTCGCATGATGGATGAACATGTACAGTCCATAAAAAGCCCAGATAACCAATGATGCCATGCACGGGATTTCAGCTGAGGGGTTGGAAGGAATTCGGAAAATCAAACGTGTAATATTGCTGGAAAGCGTGATCTAACGCAATCACTATTTAATTGTTTGTGCAATTCAGTTTTATTATCCCTAGAGATGTTGGTCAAGCAGCGCCTTACAGTTTAATACCAACTATACTCCTAGATTTCATCTTAAGAAAGCGTAAAACAACTCATATTCCTCAGGCATAAGTATTGTAAACTGATTATAGTAATTATAATAAATGCCCATCAATCCACGCTTTTGCATAGACTATTCTAAAATCATAGTAGAAAAAAGTATGTCGTGCGCTTAACAGATCAGTCCATGTACAACTCATCCAACTGTTCGGTTAGAAAGGCGAATAAACTAGCACGAGTTTGTTAGTAGGCATTTAATTTATCCACAAACTTTACTTGTATTTGTCCATACTTGCCATTAAAGCACTAACAGCATAGAAAGTAGTGTCGTTAGCATGAATTAATTGAATATATTACAAATTAATATTGTCGCTTTAGATGTAAACAGGCTCTAATTCTGAACTCACGAAGAGGCATGCATCGTTTTGGGGCAACATGTATATTTCAATTCTTTGCAGTGCATGAGCAGACAACCGAACGGTTACTTCCACTATAAAGGAAATAATGAGATCGACAATGGATAAATATCTTTAGAGATAGCATGCACGGTATAGAAATTGGTGACTAAACGAAAAGTACGTAACATTATCGCTAGGCTACATGCCTATTGCTCACCAGTGGCTCGCGACTGGTTCATCAGTGACAGCAATAAGAGAGCTGTCAGTAGACCGTACATAACGTTGCTTGTGATGTTTCGGTTTGCTTGATATTACTGCTCTGCTTAAATAGCAGCCACTTTCTTCAACACCGGAATGCAGACAGGTCATTTGCCACGCAGGTAATCACATCGGTGAAGATAATAGAGACAGCCATCTTAAGGAACTCAAAAGAAAGGTGAAGAAAAGACGTAGTTGTTATGAACGGCACTTCGCTCTATCTATCCATTGACCGGAAAATTCCAGTAAATATCTTGTGTAATCTGGGGATAATATTGTGGAATTATAGATACCGGTAAATTCCATCGGATAAAATGATCATGCTTTTTAGCTGGTTGTTGCTAGTGACCAGAACACTGATAATCAGTTGTTTTCGACACCTAAATTACAATGTTTGTTCATCATAGGTCTTTAGGTAGACCTCAACGACCTTTGCTAATATATAGTTTTATTTAACCTAACCTACATCAGTGTAGCTAGAATTTACCACAGCGGAACTTAGTAAAGCAGCTAATTATATTACTTTGTAATAACTTTGTTAAATCACGGGTACTCTGTTATCTCTCAGAGCATTGCTAACAGCAATGAACCCAATGAAACGATCCGTTGGAAATACACCCACCAAATCACTACGTTCACACTACCGTGCTAAGCAAATCATGATCTGTACTGTTGACTGATTTGAAGAGTTCCGACCAGTATGCGAAAATAATTGAAGGATATTTGTTTTTGGACACAATACCCAGTGGGTTATTTAATGCTTTGAAGCAGAAGCTCTTCATGTTTCTAGTTTCGTAAGACAGCAGAAAGCTGTAGCAGGTCTGTGTATATCTTAACACCTAGCGTAATTTAATAAAACTGAACACATATCATGCTAACTGTTACAAATTGAAACAACTAATTCCTTGCCGGAATGATCTTAAGTGACATAAAAAGGATTATAAATTGCATAGGGAGCTACTGAAGTCGAACGTTATAACGGGTGCTCATCCTGCTGTTCCAAATAGCACATTATTGTTAGGGAGTCTTTACTACTTCAGCAAAAGATTCTCTATTGTCTAAACGGTGAAAAATCCACGCCGGTTGTCCGGGGCAAGGGATCCTCGCTGACAGATTTGACCCGATTAATACAGCTATGATTCTGTTGCCCAACTTCGCCTTTTCCAATTGGGTTGAAGTGTATCAGATTAGGCAAGAGAGGTCTGTAACAACCATTGTTAAAATGCGTTAATCATTTGATTGAATCACGGCGTATGTTAATCTTCAGCAATCCAATAATTCCCATTCAATAGATAGAATCAACGGAGGGCAGATTAGAAGTAAAGAATCCATCATCCTCATCATCATCATTTAAAGTTTGTCTGACGAGATCTACCAATAGGACTATTCACTCAGAATCTGCCTTCCATTAATTCCGTTACCATTTCCCCCATTCACTATTCCGGATAACTATAAACGGATAACGGGTCCTGTTTTGTCAGCAGAAAGTTCAATCGATTCAAAACTAGCAATGGAGTCCAGCTTATAATTTATAGTTAAAAGTGTTAACAGAGCGAGCAGTGCAGACAGTAAAGTGAATATTGTTAAAACAACGAATGGGCGCCCTACAAACAATCAGGGATAAATACCTATCTGCATATCGTTCCGAACCCACTGAGAGGAAATGTAAATATCCTGTATAGCTGATGTACGGCGACAACCTCAGGCGAAAGTGGGCATAGCAGTGCGACAGAAATGCTCGGAGTCTTCAAATTCGCTGAAGAAGGATACAGTAGTTTTGGGAAATCACTTGAGCAACACTTAATTGCTGCCACAAGAAACAATCTGATTATCTGGCATGATAATTCACTTCATAGGAAGCTAAATGGATGTCCTACGTGCAGATGGCCGTCAACTTCGTCGATAGTCAGACCAAGTTTGTCCACTGTCCGGACAAATCTAAGGAGACACAGACCGGGTTGTACGCAGACAACGGAATAGGAACAGTGAGCGAACCGCACGGATAAGCTAGCAAAACCCTGCTGAGGCAAGCAACCCGCATTCCCAACTCAGTGGATCGTTTCACGTGCTACAGTGAGGACGTCGAAAGAGATGAGGATGCGCATCAAAGGTCAGGTCCTAATCTACTCAGATGGATGACACTATATAATCATGACTATACACTCACTTCAACTCGTCATGTCTCCGGTGAACGCGGGCCGCGCTGTCCTCTCAGAAGATGATTACACAGTGCGGTGTCCAAACTTGTTTTCCTTCCCTAGGGTTCCTAGCCCTATACGACATACGCTTTCTATCGTATGCTTAACACAACTAATACGTATCAATTATGTAGCACCTACGATCTTTACCGAAAAGTTTGAAAAAATGCAAGTAGCCTCTGAGAGCTGCTAGTCTGCGGTACAAGAAGGCTTTACTTGACTCAGCCGCAATTATTCTCATCAGGTTCTTTGCATCCGTTAAGAGGCATAGCATTGCAAACTAGTCTATAGCAGCGTTAATCCAAGCGGTTGGTGCTCGTATGCACACTTAAAATTATAAGTTGCAAACTTAGAGGACGGTATATTGATGTATTTTGTTCGTGAGGCCACTTTACCAAAACATGAGTTGACCTCATGTGCTCGGGTGCGTTAATACTTAATTAAATTAGCGCATTAAAAGCCCAAATGTTCTGGCTGTTTCATAAGCTGAATCCATTTAAATCGTCTTATCATGGTTTTATTCATACTTATCTACTGCACGAAGTTTCCCCTGAATTACAGGATTGCTAAAATGCGTATTTTAATTGCTTAACAAATGTGCCTTACCTTTTGAGTAGAAACGAGAGTTACCATCCCGTGAAACACCTGCTGGTCCGTCTCATTGGCGTATGGGTCGTTTTTAGAAAATCTGATAAGGTTTGCCGTAGACATCCATGTTAATATATTAAAGCTTCTCAATTCTGTATAACGCAGCTTTCTCTATTTGACAAATTTACATGCAGCTCGTGAAAGCTGGGCTGAGGTATTGATCGTCAGGCAGCTATTGACATACTAGTTTGAGTTTAGGAAAGCTTTGTCTACTTCCTCCATTTAAGGCTCTCATTGAATAAGCAACTTTGCAAGTTATTTGCTGTCGCCTTTAAATGGGTGTTTGCTTTCTTTGGAGATTGGAGGACGATGTGTGATTGGGATGTATACTTACACTTAGTCGAGCTGTTTTAGCTTTGTTTCGCTGGGCTAGCATTACCACATTCACGGTTTTTAACTTGTGTAAATTACCTACCAATTACCCAGCTCCTGAGAGCTTGTGGTACCATCGCTTCCATTTGCTAAATGATCTTAGGATCAGCAATATTGGGGCTAAACTTTGGGGTTGGGACGCTATTCAGTTTGTCTTGGAGAGAATCTTGGATTAGGCAGCTTTCTGCTTGATACTCGTGAATCAGGTGATTTGCGCTGTCTTTTGTATCAGACCGGCCAATTCTATTACGTGTTTGGGCGAAAGTGGAATCGCTGGATTTTCTCCGCAGATTCGGCTAGCAGTAGTCCCCATTTCAGCCTATCATTGTGGGTGCAAGTACAAGAAGACCCGTTACGAAATATTCCATATGATGTGGTTTACTCATTCCACTTACTCAGTCTTAACCGCCGCTATGTTTTTTTCAAATAATCTGTTTTCGTGTGACACGACGTGCAACATTGCAGGCAGACTTGTATAACCTGCGCTTTACGGGATACACACAAAATAAAGAGTCTATGGCTAGCGGACAGCAGATTAGTACCGAAATCACGGGGACAAACGTATCCCAAGCTTTGTTTAGTTTGAGAATGAATTTAATGCAAAAAGGGAGAACCATAGTGGAACTGCTCCATGTGCTCGGTGAGCTAATGCGCTGAGGTTCATTCCCGTCAGTCTCCATTGTCTCCGTGTTACTGTGGCCGACACAAATGCAATTCGCTGTGTTACACCGCATTTAACTTCAAACAATCGCTCACCATTACGTACACAGTCACGTGATAGTAGTAACTTACTACTCCTTCAAATTGGTAACACTGCTTAGCATGCATGAATTTGTAATCTTTGGAACGTTTATATATGGTGTTGTAGTTGTGCAGTCGGGAGTTTCGAGGAAATCCTTGTCCTTGGTGTGCGTGGGTCGTAATAGACGGATAGCTGCTGCAAGACCAAATGGATAATTCATAGGAAGCTGCATAGTTACATTATGACCACACAGCGGGAGTCGAAGCTGTATGGAGTGTGTGCCGTATACATCTTATGGCCATCTGTACTGCGCTGTCATAGCTGCCAATGGAGGAGCAAGAGTGAGAGTACTGGGTGAATAGCGTAAAATCATGCACCGGAGATTATCTAACCACACCAAATACGAATATGAATGCACAGTCAAGTATAAACGACAATCACTATCTAGTCTACACCCGACAACGTTCTATACTTTGGTTTGCTAAGCGGCGATTCGGCACACAAATTATGGAACCGTTGTAGTGCGCAATGTACTTTTGGGCCCTGTATTTTATGCAGCTTTTACGTGAAACCCATAAATTGCTTATGATTTCCACATACTTGTTCATTAGATTTCATTAAACATGAAACGTCTTACAAATAATCTGAAACTATATTAGTGCAAAATGGGAGGCATCAGCATTACAGCTCAATCAATGTTTGCAAGCTTGCGTGTAAAACGCATATTCAAACAGTTACAGAGCAGTCGTTTGATAAGTTTGAACCAAATATCAAGAAAAAGGTGCAGTTAAATCGTAGTTATTTTATGCGCTTTCTAACTTTAACTATTGCTCGCAAATGTGCAGATATATTAATCCGGAATTACACGTCGCCG